GGGTCCAGTGAGGCCCATGCTAGAAGGTGCTGGTGCGCACCCAGAGAGAAGCCAGAGTGACAACGACTGAGGCGTCTGGACTGAAAGGCTGCCTGCCCCGAGAGGACAGGCGGTGCCTTGGGGTGTGCCCAGAGGCCCCGGACACACGGGGTGGCACCACGGATTCCCAAGGGAAGCGCCCTCCGGGATATGCGAGGACCTGACCCAAGATGGCACCCCAGAGCAAATGGAAGGGCTTGATTTTGGAGCAGACTCCACTGCCGTTGTGGAGGTGGGGGATGTGGAGGGAGAGGGAGGCTCCAGCTTAGCCATCGGTGGAATTGGGACAAAAGTCTCATACAGAATTCTGCAGAGCCCTTTCTTTCTTATCCCATTTTCCATTTTCTTAGCACTATCACTGCCTGCCGTGGGCTCTGGACTGCAAGCCTCTCGAGGGCAGGACCTCGTTCCTCACTTTATTTTATGGGCCTCAGAGTGTACCACACACACCTTTGGTAAAGATTTGTCACGTGAATGAAAGACTAGCAAAGAAGCCAGCACACAGCAGGCACTTTTATCCCAAAAGAAAGGTTGCAGACTGGCAGACACCCCCCGCCAAGGGGCGTGGGGCAGCCCAGATTCTGATTGGAAGAGTTCCCGCTTGGAGCGGGCAGGCAAGACAGGGTTTGAATCTGGATTCACTGCATTTTCTTTCTTCTCTGCCCCGCCCTCTCTCCACCCCATCCCAAACTGGGAGGTTGAGGGTTAACTCTAGGAAGCCCCTTCATCACCTGAATGGGATTGGGGCAGGGAACTTCCTGTTCCACTTTTCCCTAGTCTTTCTCCAGGCTGGCCAAGAGTGGCTGTGGCCCTGGAGAGCCCTCTGAGAAACCCCAAGCATCTCTACCTCCATAGTGGGGACCTGGAGAGGTGAGTTAGAGGCCTGGGATGCTGGACTCACGGACTTACAGCAGCTAGGAGAGAGAAGAGGGGGGAGGCTCCAGGCCTGGGGGGGAGGGTGCCTGGAAGAGAGTCTTGGGAGATAAATGAGGGTGTGTATCTGTTTTGGGGAGTGTAGTGCCAGCCAACTGGATGGATCTATAGTCATGGGGGCATCAGGGAGGGTCCCAGAACATCTTGTGACATTGGGAGGAGGCAGGTGCCACGTGTCTCCAGGTGGACTGACCAGCTTCATTCAGGGAGAGAAGCCCGACTAACAAAGACAAGCAGGTCAGACACTTGGAACTGCATGCAGGGAGAAGGGGACATTTTTGGCAAAATTCCTCCTTTGGTGCCTCCGCAGCTGTGGGCTCTCCCGTTGCCTGAGTGGGTCTCATGGCAGCACTTCCACCCGGGGCTGCTTCCACCTGCGCTGCTCTACTTTTCCAGGCCCCAAATTAAGCTGGTCAGCTACTGGATGTTGGCTTTCCTGCCCCACACCCAGTCAACCCCCTGCAGATGTGCATATTAATAGAGCTTTTGTCCTGGAGAGCTGGGGGAGGGACACTCTGGAAAGCCAACTTGCCTGAATTCCACCTCTTCAAAACCTTTTGGTAAGGCCTCACCTGACGATTCCAACCACCCTGTGTGGCTCGGCCTGAGGGCTGAAATTTGGAACCTTCTCATTTCTTATTCAGGTTGTGAGATTCTAGCTAATGCTATGAAAATCCCACAGGGTATGAGGGAAATCAGGTTTTCTCTGTTCCAGGGATTTACTCGGTCTAGAACCAAGCGAAGCTTGGCTGTACCAGGTGTGACTGAGCAAGTCACCTTTGTTTGTCACACTTGTCAGATTAAAAAAAAAAAAAAAAAGATTAGCACATGAGCTGAAGCAGCCTCAACACTGCCTGGAGAGATAAGTGCTCAGTTCCTGCCAGCTGCTCCTGTAGGGTGGCTGGTAAAAGCGATTGGTTCTTTAGGTTATTTTGCACATGCTACTCAAAACAATGAAACAAAACCCCATTTTCTTGAATATTCACCAAAGACCTTGTTACGTGCATCCCTCAATTCTGAGGACTTTGAGGTAGCCATTATCCTTGCTATTTCTTTACATCTACTAGCAGTCATTGAAGTCACCTCAAGTGCTGGACTTGACACAGTGCTCTTCCAAGGTCAGGGGAAGAAATAACACTTGACCCTGACTGCAGGATAGCAACCTACAGATGTGTTGTGGGGTCTCAGGAGGGAGACACCAAGGAAGGTAGGAGTGACTGCAATAGGAAAAGCTCCCAGGAGACAAGATGCCAAAGTGCAGGAAAGAGCCTGGGCTGGACAGGCCATCTTGTGGGAGAAGTGCCAGAAAGAGGTCCAGGACTGGTGGTCAGGAGCTCGCCCGGGTCATTGTTTCAGCATTATAGCCCTCTTTCTTGAATCCAGGCTAGAATCTAGGTTTCCTGTGTTTTTTACTACCCTCCTCCACCCTGTCACCCCACTTGAGAAAGAGGTTTAATGAACCCTTCATCCTGTCTGAATAAAGGAAGTTCAACCAACTGCCCCAAACTCAGAACCAGGCTGACTTCTCCCACCTTCATTGCAGAGATAGGGTAACTTTCTAGGGCCTGAACCTCACTACTGTCAGTCACTGACAGCTGTGATCACTGGAGTTATAACCAGTAACAATGGGAACTACTAACAGCTAGCCTGGGTGTATGCTTGTATGTACTGTTTAGGGGATGGGAAGTAATGCCTGCAGCTCTTCCCATCCCCCTGCTCAGGGACTCCATTGAGTGTGGGAGGGTTGGACCTGTTCAGAAAAGGTTAAGCAGGCTGGGGTGTGGCTTGGTGGTACAGCGCTTGCCCAGCACTTGTGAGGCTCTGTGCTTGATGCCCAGCACTGCTAAAAAAAGGAAACGGAACCAAATTGAGTCTCCTGCGCTTGGGGCTGAGTTTCAGGCAGTCCGCCATGTAGCTATGGGCTACAAAAAAAAAAAAAAAAAAAAAAGGGAAGGAGTAGCTCCAAAGGGCTGAGCTGGGAAAAGGTGGTTGCTCCTGCAGAATGAGTGCCCCCTGGTGGCCATTTGGAGACACTGTTTCCATTGGTACCAAATGAGGTTGAGGTGCCTGGGGTGGGGGGCGAGCGGGGAGGAAGAAAGAGAAATGGCTTACTCATCCACTCATGCCCTAGCTCCCATGGTTCTTTCACTAGGGGCTCTCAGGCTGAGCAAGGCCATCTCCCTTTTTTGAGGACTCCCAACAGAAAACTCTTCAAGCCAGTGTCCCATCTGGAAAACCACCCACGAACCCAGATCCCCTTCCTGACCTCTCCAGAGTCTCTCTTTCCTATGACACTCATTTCACAGCTGGCCTTGGTGGGCTCCAGTTTGTGTTCCATCCCTCCGACCTGGCTGATGTTGGACTCAAACTCAGGGGCTGGAACTATGGAAGGTGGGAGCTCAGTCCTGCACTGGTCAGCTGAGTGGCCTTGACCTCTGAGAGACACCTCCAGAGCCATAAAGTGACGGGTCAGAATGCCTGGTCAAGGAGACAGCTCAGACATCAACTCTACCCCCATCCCCCCAACCTTTTATTTTGAAACCTCTCAAACATCCAGAGAAGTTGGATGAACGGGTCAATGAAGAACTTCAAGTCCATAGACCTGGCTAAAACCTCTAACCCATTCATGTCCAAACCCCACTGATCAGTGGTGACTCACATCTGTAATCCTAGCTACTTGGGAGGTTGAGATCAGGAGGACCACAGTTCTGGAGACCCCCCCCCCCATCTCCAAAATAACCAGAGCAAAATGAACTGGAGGTGTGACTCAAGCAGTAGAACGCCTGCTTTGCAAGTGAGAAGCCCCGAGTTCAAACTCCAGTCCCACAAAAGAGAGAGAGAATTACTTATATTCACAAGACTAGAATTCTCATCTAGAAATTGACAGTCATTAATTTAGTATCCCATCACACGTTAAAATTTCCCCAACTGACCCCAGGACTGTCCTTGAGAACCTTTTTAAAAAGTACATAAATCTGGTCCCGAGGGGCTCAAGTGGCCGGGCGCCTCGGGGTTAATCCACTTGATCATGACCTCTCTTAAGTCTCCCGTACAACAGTGCCTCCCACTGACACTTTTTAAATAAACGTGTATCAATCGTACAAAGGGGTTCATTGTGATATGTTGACACATGTATATAATATGGTTTGATTCAATTCACCCCCTCTGTTACTCTTTCCTATCTCCCCTCGCTCCAGACAAAATCTGTATCTGGAATGTTTGTTAAATTGTTTCTTCAAGCAATTGTTTGACTTCTTTCTTTCTTCCTTCCTTTCTTTCTTCCTTCCTTCTTTCTTTCTTTCTTCTTAATGGAACTGGAGTTTGAATTCAGGGCTTCACACTTGCAAAGCAGGTGTTCTACCTCAGATCATTTTTTGCTCTGCTTATTTGGGGGGTCTCATAAACTATTTGCTCTAGCTGGTCTTGAACCAAAATCCTCCTGATCTCAGCCTCTTAAGTAGCTAGGATTACAGGCATAAGCCACCAGCACCCGGCTGACTATTTCTTATTCCCCACGATGCCCTGTGAGCTGGAAGTTCTATCTACAGGCCATGTTGGATTGAGATGAAACATTTTTTACAGGACCTGTCTTCCATAGTGCTGTCTGCTCCCAGTAGCTGCATCAGAAAGAGGGAAGGGCAGGGGCAAAGCGCTGTTAAGTCTCAAATGCTGTGTGACAGGACGACCACACAGAACTCTGACCTCATTGCACTGATTAGGCTGAGACCTGGGCATTCCTGCTGGTGAGCTGTCACCCATGACAGTGGGAGAAAGGATTCCTCAGGGGAGGTCATATTTTTCAGATAGGGTCTCACACTAACTTTGCTGGGGCTGGCTCAAACTGAGATGCTCCTCCTGAGTATCCAGGATTATAGGGGTGCTCCAACCATGCCTGGCACATATTAGCCAGGTGGAGTCAGTTTCCCTGAAACAGACCCTAACCCAGTGTCTTCAGCTCCACAGGTGTGAGAACTGAGGACAGGAACCTGAGACAGGGTCCACTTCTGGAAGTGTCCCCACGGTGAAGGATGCTTGCAGAGCCTGCCCCGACTGCCCTGGAGCAAGAGCAGCTTGGAGCTGTCAAGCTGGAGGAGGATGAGATTGCTGGCCAGGAGGATCACGGGCGACCAGAGCCCAGGCCTCGGCCTGAAGTGGCCCACCAGCTTTTCAGATGCTTCCGGTATCAGGAGGACATGGGGCCAAGGGCATCCCTGGGCCGGCTGCGGGAGCTCTGTAACCATTGGCTGCAGCCAGCTCTGCACACAAAGAAGCAGATCCTGGAGCTGCTGGTGCTGGAGCAATTCCTGAGTGTGCTGCCCCCACACCTGCTGGGCCGCCTGCAGGGTCAACCACTTAGGGACGGCGAGGAGGTGGTGCTGCTGCTGGAGGGTGTGACCCGGGACACTAGCTTCGTGGGGCCACTGGTGAGAAAGGACTGAGCAGCAGGCTGCACAGCAGGGGGTGGACAGGGACTGATTGCCCTGAGTACCCCACTTTCCACCATCCACCAACTCCTGACCCTCCTAACTCCCCTCTCTCCCATCCTGGGGAGTCAGTAGGTTGTGATTGCTGCCTGTCCACCTCCTAACATAGGTGTGTTTTCAACAGGACTTTAGTTGCAGTGCCAGCAAGAATTGTTCCCATGCAGTCATCATCTTGGAGGAACAGGGGGGCTCTTCCCAGGTTCCCAGCACAGCCCCAAAAAGGAAGTGCCCTTGGAAGAGCCTCCAGCTCTGCGTCCACTGACTGAATTGCCCCCCATCCCAGCCAGGCCCTGCCCTGCCTGCTGAGCCTGGGGAGTGGAGACTTGCCCCAAGTTCAAAGCAGCAGCTGAGCCCAGAACCCCAGAGGACACTCCTGGCCTTGCAAGAAAGCAGTGAGGAGCTGGTGTCCTGTGAGGCAGACTGGATGGGGAGAGGCGGTGTGGGAGAGAGTTGGGAGGGCCTCATGGGTCCAAGGTGATGCGGTTGGGGGCGGCGGCATGTCCTTGCAGTCACTGGGTGAGTGGGCAGTGCTGCTTTCTAACAGTAATTTTTCCTCCCACAATGCCGTCAGTCCCCCAGGGCCCCTTGCTGTGGCTGGAGGAGAATTCTCGAGATCAGGAGCTGGCCTCTGTATTGGTGAGCTGTACCACCCCTTACCCCAGGTCCTCCAGCATGAGAACTTCCTCTACCATTTGCTGCTTTAACAGCTGTGTCCTCCTCAGTCTAATCCTGGAACTGCTTCATTTCATGCAGGTCCCTGAGCCCATGCTATTCTCACTCACTGGTGATCTCTTGCTTTTTTACAGGAGACCCTGACCTTTGAGGATGCCCCAGAGAAGAAGGCTTGGCCCATGCGCCCACTTGGTAAGGTGGTCATGACCACCAAGGCTCTCTCTCTGCCAGCAGCTCCAGATCCTACCTGACTTGCTGGCCTCTTTGATGGGCTTTTTCTCTCCTTTTTCCCTTCCTCCCAACCTCCCTCTCTTTTTTCCACTCCTTGTGCCTGTCCATTTTAAGCTTTTAAAACAGGTGGTAGGAAAAAGAAAATAGGTGATAAAGGGAGTGACTGCTAATGGGTTCAAGGTTTCCATTTGGAAACAGGTAATGGTTGTAAATGTTATGAATGTACTTAATAGACCCAAATTCTGTGATTTACTTTTCTTTCTTTTTTTGGGCAGTACTGGGTTTGGAACTAGGGGACTTCTGCTTGCTAGGCAGGTGTTCTACTGTGTGAGCCACAGCTTCAGCTCCATTTTTTACTTTTTTTGTGGTACTGAGATTTGAACTCAGAGCCCAGTACTTGCTAGAGAAGTGCCCTAAACTGAGCCATGGCTCAAGTTGTACAGCACCTACCCAGCAAGCCTAAGGCCTTGAGTTCAAACCCCACTGGAAAAAATAAAATAAAATAAAAAAGAAGCAGTGCTCTACCTCTTGAGTCAACCTCCCAGCCCTTTTTTTACTTTTGTTATTTTTTTGCATAGAGGCTCAAGTTTTTGTCCCAGGCTGTCCTTAGGCCCTAATCCTTCCAACTATACCTCCTGCCCAGCTGTTGTTACCAGTGTATGCCACTACGCCTGGCTTATTTGTTGCTAACTTTTTGCCCAGACTGGTCTTGAACTCTGATCCTCCTGGTCTCCACCTCTGAAGTGCCTGGAAACATAGGTGTGAACTAGCATGCCTGGCCCAAAAAGTGGTAGAGAAAAAGGACACTCTCTTTTGATCCTCCCAGCCTCTGCCCAACCACCAGCTTTACGGGATCCTGGTTTCTTTCTACTTTCAGGACTGTTGGGTTCTGTCAATTCCCCTGATTTCCTCTTTGCTTCTCTCCCAGGATTTGGAAGCAGAACACCAGACAGGGAGGAATTTAAACTAGAAGAGCCCAAAGAGGCTGCCTGGCCGACCACTGTCGCAGCGGAGTCCCAGGCAGAGAGCCCTAGGGTAGCAGGAGAGCCTCTTGTCCAGACGCTGGGGCAGGAGGCAGGCGGCTCTGGTGAAGCAGGAACCCGTCCTGACAGCAGTGACGTTTTGGAGGTCACAGTGGCCGTGGGCGCTCCCGAATCAGAGGCAGAGATGCAGTTCATATGCACAGAGTGTGGGTGAACTTCCCGAAGCTCTCCAGTCTGCAGGCACATCAGCTGAGCTGTCACCCCAGCGGCCGCTCCTTCCTGTGCCTGTGCTGCGGGAAGAGCTTCGGCCGCAGCTCCATCCTCAAGCTGCACATGCGCACGCACACGGACGAGAGGCCCCATGCCTGCCACCTGTGCAGCCACCGCTTCCGGCAGAGCTCGCACCTGGCCAAGCACCTGCTCACACACTCCTCGGAGCCCGCCTTCCGGTGCGCAGAGTGCGGCCAGGGCTTCCAGCGCCGCTCCAGCCTGGTGCAGCACCTGCTGGCACATGCCCAGGACCCAAAGTCCACGTGTGTCCCGGAGGCCAAGACAGAAGTGGCAGAGGTGGCTGTTTTCCTGTGCTCCCACTGCGGGCAGACCTTCCAGCACCGCTCCAGCCTCAAGCGTCACCTGCGGATCCACGCCAGGGGCAAGGACCACAAGGACCACCGGTCCTCGCAGGAAGCCTCGGGCAGCCCGAGCTCCGGCCGCGAGAGCAGGCCGCACAAGTGCGAGGATTGTGGCAAGGCCTTCCGGCGCAGCGAGCACCTGGTGACACACCGGCGCGTGCACACGGGCGAGCGTCCCTTTTCCTGCCAGGCCTGCGGCCGCAGCTTCACCCAGAGCTCCCAGCTGGTCAGCCACCAGCAGGTGCACTCGGGCGAGAAGCCCCACGCCTGCCCGCAGTGCGGGAAGCGCTTCGTGCGCCGCGCCGGCCTTGCCCGCCACCTGTTGACGCACGGTGGCCCGCGGCCCCACTGCTGCGGCCAGTGCGGCAAGAGGTTCAGCCAGACCCAGGACCTGGTCCGTCACCTGCGCAGCCACACCGGAGAGAAGCCTTGCCGTTGCAGCCAGTGCGGCGAGGGCTTCAGCCAGAGCGCCCACCTCGCGCGCCACCAGCGCATCCACACGGGGGAGAAGCCCCATGCCTGCGACACCTGCGGCCACCGCTTCCGAAACAGCTCCAACCTGGCCCGCCACCGTCGCAGCCACACAGGCGAGAGGCCCTACAGCTGCCCGACCTGTGGCCGCAGGTTCCGGCGCAATGCCCACTTGCAACGCCACCTGGTCACGCACACAGGGCAAGGGCAGGAGGCGGAGGCGCCCCAGGAGTGCCCCGAGTGTGGCAAGAGCTTCAGCCGCAGCTGCAACCTGCTGCGCCACCTGCTGGTGCACAGCGGCGCCAGGCCCTACACCTGCGCGCAGTGTGGCCGCAGCTTCAGCCGCAACTCCCACCTGCTGCGCCACCTGCGTACCCACGCCCGGGAGACGCTGTACTAGCGTCACCTCCATTCCCGAAGCCTTTCCTGCACACGTACCAGGGCGGATGTGTACCCCAGGCCTTCTACCATGTCCCCGTCACGGTCACCTCCCTCTTCCACGTTTGTCTCCCCAACCTTGGCCTCTCTTCCCGGCCTCAGAAATGTATTTCAAATGGCCAAAGTAAAGTGACTTTCTTGAAAGTGGTCTTTCTTTCCTTTTTTCCTGTGCTGGAGATGGAACCCAAGACCTTGTCGGTGTTACCCAAGTGCTCTACCAATCAGCTACCCTTTGTCCCCCATATACGTATCATACATATCAGCCTTCCCACTGTGACACAGTGATGTCTTTCTCCTTCATCTGTCCCAGCACTTCCTCTAGCAGGCTGTAGTGGGGAGGGTGTGATGGGTAGCTGGAGGGAAGGTCGGGGAATCTGGCCCTGGAATATATTCTCCTCTACTCTACCTCTACAGCTTGGCCAATATGGCACAATGTGCCGAGTCATATGTGGGTCTTTAAATGCACTGAAATGGGGGGGGGCTGTCTGTAATCCCAGCAAATGGGGAGATAGAGGTAGGAGGATCACAGTCTGAGGCCAGCCCCTGAAAGACAAATTTAAAAGCATAAGAACCAGGGGTGTAGCTCAAGTGGAGGAGTGAATGAGGTCTTGATTTCAATCCCCAGTACTTCCCTACACTCAGTCCGCTCCCAAACAGCAAATCATTAAAATGGAATGAGATGCTAAATCCCAGGTTCTGAGTGTTATGGTGAGCCCTTGCTCTGGAACCTTGGTAACTATCTCAAACTGAAAATACCCAGCAGCTGAACAAAACCTCCCTGCAGTCCAAGTCTCAGTGTGTATCAGATACCCAGGAAACCACCCACGATCTTATTCAATGCTGGTTGAACATTGGTCCTACCCTTGGTGCTACCCATCTGACAGCCTCTGCTGGTAAGTCAGGTGATTTCTGGTAAAAATAGGAGGGAAAAAGAAGAGAGAAAAAACCCAGCCTCAGAGCTTGCTCCCTGTGTCATGAGTTGGCTGCTTTTCAAGGACAACAATAATCCGCCTGGTGCCGCATGCTGCTTCACAGGAGGATTGGAAAACTCAGGGCTCAAGGGACCAGGGAGATGGGACCCAAGCCTGGGCTAAGTGAGGGTGGCAGTACTGGGAGGGGGGGTTGAGCTCAGCAGGAGCTCTTCTGTCTCAAGCCTTCAGTGCTGGGATAAAACCTAGACACAGTGTACCCCTGAACTGCTCCCCAGACCTGAGATGGTTGAACCCAGTCTGGCAAAGAAACTGAGGCCCAGGAGGGTCCAGCCCTTTGGGGGTTGGGAGGAGAGTTAGGGTGCAGAAACTTGACCAATGTCATAGAACAAAGTCATCTCATGGAAGAATCCAAGGAAGAAAATTTAAATGAGAAAGGATTGGTCAACTCAGAGATCAGCCAGGTTAAGGGGTTAAGGGATGGGAGATTTTAAGGCAGAGGGTAATTTCATTTCTACCAATAAAATCATTTAGGCTTTGATTACTGAATGGACATGTCCTGCTGGTATTGAGGTGGTTTTGGTTTTGTTTTTTCCCTTCAGTGCTGGGAATGAAGGGTGGGACTTAGGCCAGACACAGACCTTCCAATGTGAAAGGACATCAGGGAGCTGGTGGAGTGGCTCAAGTGGTAGAGCGCTTGCCTAGCAAATGTGAGGCCCTGAGTTCAAATCCCAGTGCCACCAAAAAAAGAAATACCAAACAAAAAACCTCATAAAAGGACATCAGACCAATACCAGAATGTGAGAGGCAAGGTTAAGGCAAACCCTTTCTCCTGGCCACCACCTGCTCTCTTGCATTAACAGGGCCACCAAGAGGATTATGAGAGGGTCTGTGTTCAAACTATTACCTCTGCCAGACTCAGCTGCCCCAGGGGAATACTTGGTAAATAAATAAATAAATCCACAGTCAATTCCTGTGATCATAAGGGTCAGGGGAGGACGTTGCTGAGCTACAGGGGAAGACTGTCTCTCAAAAATACCAAAAGAAAAAAGAGGAAGACCAAAAAGAAGAGGAAGAGGAGGAGGAGGAGAGAAAGAGAGAAAGAAAAGAGACAAAATATCCAGCATGTCCCCTGTGCCAGACCAGCAATGACAGGGCCAAGTCTTCTAGGCTGAGGTCATTGAACACCCATTGTGTATCAGGCACCAGGCTGAATCCTCCCCACAAATCCACGACTGCACAGTGACCAGCACTCCCATGTCCTCCGTGTCCCTAAATGTCATAGAAGACTTAAAGTGGGAAGTTGATTACTTTAAAGAAAAGTTATTAAAGACAACAGACCAAGAGCAATGAGCCAACCTTGCAGAGGGAGGCAGGGCATGGAGGAGGTGGCCCAGGAAGGAGCTCAAGGACAGAGAAGAGGTGGGGTAAAGCCTGAGCAGGAAGGCAGAGGTCACTTCAGGACATTCATTGCAAGAGGTAAGGATTCCAGGGTTCTTAGGTGCCTTGATTGTGGTCTGGACCTAAATGGCCTCAATAGAACCAACAGAAGAACTCTGTCAAAGAGTTCAGGAAAGCCTTGAATGCATTACAAATGGCTTCCAGTGCACTGCCCAGGGTCTGCTTCACCCAGGCCAGCCCCTCCTGCTACTTCTTCTTCATCCACTGCAGCTTCTCCTGGAAACATTTCAGCATCTCATCCCAAAACTTAGGTTGGTCTTCACTTGACAGGTCCTGGTGGAAAAGAATCACAGGTGTTCCACCAGCCCTTTGGGTTTTTTTTTTTTTTTTTTGGCACTAGGTTTTGAACTCAAGGCCTCATGTTTGCTAGGCAGGTGCTCTAGGACTTGAGCCACTCCACCAGTCATGGTTTGTTTTGGGTTTTTTTGAGATGGGGTCTCAAGAATATCTGCCTGGGCTGGCTTTGAACATCAATACTCCTGATCTCTGCTTCCTGAGTAGCTAGGATCACTGTGTGCCACTGGTGCCAGGCCCCTCACCTTACTCTTGAGCTCAAGCACTTGCCTGTTCTGGGTCCCCACACTTGTCCATTAACTGTGTCCTGCCCAACCCTGACATCCCTGCTGTTTCTCAGTGTGCTATAGGATAGGGACCCTCCCCAGTTTCCCTCAGCCTTCAGACCGCACCTGGAAGATTACTTGCCACAAATTGTGAACTGAGAAGTTGGTGGACTGCAGGGATCTGTGTGGTGTGAGGCACGAGCAAGCATGAGGGAGCCCCCGACCCATACCCAATTGTGCAGAGGCTGAGGGTGGGGACATGTGTCATGGAGTCTGATTGGTAAATTGACTCACATCTCCATTTTCTGAGGACGAAACTGTGATATCATCAAGGAATGTCTGGAATTCCAGTTTCTGAAGAGATGCAGAATTGGGTTAACAGGCCTGATCCTTCTCCCTCCTGAGTACCTGGCCAGAACCTCCTCAGCATCACACAGTGAGGACCAGGACCCCCTCCCACCACATCAAGTGCACATGGGGAACTAACTGCCTCACCATTTTGGATTTAACAGTCTCCAAGGAGGCATTTTTCATCTGTGGAAAGAACAGGGACACTCAGGCCTTATGTGACCTTCTCCCTCCACCCCAGACAAGCCACATACACGCTCTGTCACGCACACACCCAGTCACAGGCACACGGCACCCAGGCACATGAAGGATGAAGATGGCCCTGGAAGGTGCCAGGCCCGCATTGTTCCAGCACCCTCTGTGGCCCCCGGTGAGGTTGTTGAGGGAGTAATTTGTGCTGGGCAGGGGGGGATGGGGAATATCCAGTCACATCAGCGTCCCTGGAACCATCTCAGCACCTTATGTCCACGGTTCTTGGACCGGAGAGTGCCAGGATCCTCGTCTTTAGAGAAGGAGCCAGAGGCACTCTGGAGTCTGAGAGGAATTTCTGTCCTCACAGGAGGAGGGATGGGAAGGGACTCTTAGGGAGAGGAAGGCTGTTCAAGGTCTGGCTAGCTCAGTGTGAGTACCTTGAGGCCACCAGAGCCTCCCAGCCTGTTCCCACGAACCATACAGATGCTGGTTGCTAACAACAGCTCCACAAGCACAAGGGGCTTTTCACAGAGGCCCTGACTCTCCATGGCCCACCATGGTGTCAACCACCATGGATTTCAGTGCTTGTTCACTGTCAGTCTGAGCTCAGTCCCAGGCCTAAAAGGGGTCTATATTGCCTTAGGACAGGACTTGGGCCACTGGCTGCCAGGGAGGCCACGGACAAGTACAAGCAAGCAGCCACCCCTGAATGCTTCACCCTAGCTCTGGAGGCTGTGAGCACACAGGTCTACAGGAAACCATGAGAGGGCAGGGGGGAAAAGGGACAAAGGAGGCTTGGCCAGAGGCCTCCTCAAACTCAAGGAGCTATTGTTGTCAGCAAGAGCCTCAGAAGCCTGCTCCCATTGATTTCAAACTGGTGAGAGAAGGTTGTAGAACCATTCTCTGCTGCCTGATGTCCACAGTGGCCTCCCATAGGTCCAGGGAGGCACAGAGAGCCAGGAGCCCAGGCCCCATAACCAGGGGAGCATCTGCCCAGGAACTAAGCATAGGGAAGGCAGCAAAATCATACTCACCATGGTTTCTGGTGTACTTAACAAGTCTTGTTAGAATAAAACACTTTTTCAAGTACCTGGACCTCACTTAACTTTTGGTCTTTACCTCTTTTCCCGCCTGTTCTGAGGTCACACTACTTGCCTCTTAACTGCTGCCTAGGGGGCAGGCAACCAGAGGCCTGGGATCCCATCTCTGTCCTCAATGTGCTGTAGGACAAACACACCCCCCTCAGTCTTCCTGTCTCTCAGTGTCCCCCACGTTAAAAATCACCTGAGAAGTGAGTGGACTGCAGGCATCTGTAGAGTGAGCCTAAGAAGCCCCAACACCACCCAAAGTGGAGAGACTGAGGATGGGGACATGAGCCCTGGAGCTTGACGGATGGACATTGTCCAGCCTGTCCTTCTGTTGGGAATGAAACCAGGACACCCCTAAAGAAACTGAAGAAATTCTGTTTCTAT